TAGGCCCATAGGTGACCTGGCCTGTCATTTCTTCCCATCTCCCCTCCCAGCCCACACGTTGCTTAGCGAGGAGCAGACGTACAAATAGGCGGCAACGGGAGCAACGCAAGAATGTTGTGCCTCTATCAGTGACTAATACATTCATTGTGACAGATTTTGTTTGCTTGTTTTTTGGAGAGGGAGTGGGAGGTGACAAATGATGCCAGGGGGTTAATTGAGTTAATTCTTATATGGCAAGACACAGATATTGAGAGCAAATACCTAAGAGTTGCTGCCTCTTATTTAACTAAGAACAATGCTTAGAAAATTTGGGAGATAGATGAAAGAGAGAGAGAAAGACAGAGGCATGGATACATCGACATATACAGATAGATAGATAGATAGATGATAGATAGATAGATAGATAGATAGATAGATAGATAGATAGATAGATAAAGAGATGATAGATCAATAGATAAGAGGAGGATAGCTAGACAGAGATAGCTAGCTAGCTAGCTAGATACAGTAGATAGATAGATAGATAGATAGATAGATAGATAGATAGATAGATAGATAGATAGATAGATAGATAGATATGGTAGATAGATACAGTAGATAGATATAGATAGATGATAGATAAAAGATAGATCAATAGATAAAAAGGTAGCTAGATATAGATTATTAATATATACTGTTGATGATGGCTGGCTGGATGAACAGATAATAGATACTTTTGATAGATTTATAGACATTGTTGTGTTCTTTTTCATTGATTTTTATTCTCCTACTATCTAAAGCTGGCTGGAGAATTCTGGGAGTTAAGTTCACAAGTCTTAAAGTTGCCAAGTTTGGAGACCTCTGCTCTTAGTTTCAGTCAAGTGATGAATCACAGAAATTAATGGAGGAAGCAGGAATACATGTCGGGGTGGTTTGAGAATGAGAAATGGAAGTGTGAAATTACAGCCTTCAATATCTCCATGGCTTATAATACCCTTTTTGGCTCTTGATCCATGTGCCTTCCCACATTGAAAGTGGGTGGGGGGGAGAGAAAAGATGGGGATGCTTCAGGGATGGTGAAAGGGATGGTTGGGGTCACAGAAGGCCTCCGGATGCAGCTTGCCCACCTGTGCTTTAGTCCCCCTGCTCAGCGATGGAGACATGTGTTTGCCTCTGAGTTTCACCTGAAAGCATTTCAGTAAAAGCCGAAAATATAAAATTCTGTTTTTCATTTTTAGTATTGATAGATATGTGGTATTTGGGTTTCCTTTCCTTTCCTTTCCTTTCCTTCCCTTCCCTTTCCTTTCCCTTCCTCTCCACTCCTCCCTTTTATTTTTCCTCATCTCTCTTTGCTTCTCTGCCTTTCTCACTCCCACAGTTCTTTTCCCATGTCCTTCCTTCCTTCCTTCCTTCCTTCCTTCCTTCCTTCCTTCCTTCC